CTGCTATTTTTGCCTATAAATCCGTAGCTGAAAAGAGGGAGCTGGAGCTCAGGAGCTTTGGCTGACTCTTTTGAGCCTCTCCTGGCAGAGCAACTCAATCGAGTTGTTGGTAAGCACCCTTAAACGAGCTCACTTCTGCCCTTCTGAGATTCCAGCTTTTAACCTGAAGTGACATGAAGGGTGTGCTCAGTCAGCTGAGAAGCCCAGGTACCAGGGCTAACATTCCTGGGTACTGGTATTGTGATTATGAACACCATGTGAGCTCCCTGCAGTAAAGCCCAGGAATAATAGCTGGGGTCCAGGTTGTGGCCCTGCGTGAGGTGCTGGAGGAAGGGAGGTGCCATCCCCACCCCAGCAACAACCATGGCTGCATTCTCTGTATTCCTGAGTGAGTGAGTAGTGTAAACTCCATCCAAAGGCCTTACGTAAACCACGGACCTTTGAAATATTATAAAGAATCTAGGAGTAGAGGTTGGGAAAAAAAGAGAGCTCTACACCAATTAATATCAATTCTTTCCTTTATTTTCTCCCCCCCCCCCCCTTTTTTTTTTTTTTGGTTGTTACTGGGGACTCAAAACAGCCTCAGTTAAAGATGCCTTAGTTTTCCTTTTGTGCCGCTGATTTAGGATACCTGTGGAAACAGGACACGGTTAGTGCAGGAGTGTGTCATTCACCCCAGATTAGCCTTCGTTCTGCTATATAGCTAATGACTCATTAACAAACATATTCCGTCCACGTTTCCTTGACATTGAATCTGAATATTGGTTGCTATTTAAAAAAGTACAATGTTTGAGTTGTTGGTTTAATCACAAAACAAAACACATGAATGGAAACACTCATTTACGTGACTATTGCTTATACACCTAAGATGAGGAGTTGACTACAAATGGCCACCTGGAGTTCCTGAATGAGAGAGAGTGTGTTCTTACTGAGACCATGCTGAGGCCAAAAGCAGTCAAGACTGAAATATACTGTGCTTGAATTCACCTTTACATTATGGAAAAAGATGTAGGTTGGGCACAGGGTATTTAAGGAGCGTAATTAACTGAAATCTGGCTTTTTGCCTGAGTTACAATACACACAGTTTATAAATAGAGGAGTCTGGAGGTTGGACACTGCTTACTGAAGTGTTTTCTTCACTTCTCAAATTGTATACTGAAAAAAAGTTTTGTATGCATATCTGCATATGTTGTGATGTGAAAGGGCTTCTGTAAAACGAATGTGTAAACTGTTCCAGAGAATTTCCATGTGATAATTTTTATACACTGTGTGTAATAAATAGGGCATTTCTGTTAAATATTTGTGTAAGAAGCTATATTCTGGTCATATAGGGCATGTCTAATTGATGTACATAGTTGAACTGTAGAATTGTAAAAAATAGTTTAGAAAACAGGTCATTATACAAAACAAAACCTGATTCTCAAATTTTCCTTTATTTTGTCTTTTAATTCAAGATTTGAAGCTTGAGTTAAAAATCTAGGAATGGACTTATTTTTTAAATAAAATATCTTGTACTTCATTGAAGACTTGCCAACTCTGAAAACATATAAATAATCTAATTTAATGTATTTTTCTCTGCATACTCTGTCTACAGCTCTCGGCATAAGATTAAACACATCTGGTCAAACCCAGAGGGGTGCGTGTGCTGTTGGAAGTTCTGTGTGTCTGGTTTGGGATGTGGATTTATGAGAGCGAGCTCCTGTAAAGAAGAATGTGAGGCAACAGGGTATCCAAATGAACAAAAAGCATTTTAAATGGAACAAATTATTTCCAGTCAATCTGGTCTATTGTAACTCAGGATTGCGGTGCTGAAGATACCTCTGAGTTTAGGATTTTGCTTGAGGTAGTGCTGCCCGAAGTGGGAAAGGTGAAAGCACATGATTTCAACATCCAGCGACAGCTAAGTGTCCTCAATTTTCTTAGTCAGGTCAGACACTGTGCTTGCTGCTCTGGATGCTGGATCTTTATCCCTTTCACTAACAGCCTTTAGTAGCGTCCAGGTCAGGCCTTTCAAAAATCCCACACTCCCCCTCATTTTACAATAAATCAACCAGGTGTGAGTTCTTCCTCCCTCACTGAAGTTTTTAAGTGAAGTTGTTTTTTTTTTTCCACAGACATGGTAAATCTTGATAGAAAGCATTTAACAGTGTGCACTAACAAACTTATACAACATATACATTACATATATATATTTTTATATATAGAATGTTCTATATACAAACATATACAACTTTTTAGATCTCTACAGACTACAATAAAATTGATAATTATAGCCACAAGTGGTGAACTTAACAGAAAGAGTAGTTTGTAACTGTCTGGAAATATGTAAAATATCTAAGAGTGGAAAGCAAGATACAGCTGTGACCTGCTGGGGAGCACGAGAGAAAACCTGTATTAAAAATTGCAAGTTTGAGGGGTGTTAGATTCTCATTTCTCTGTTGCATAAAAATGCAAGTGTAAATCTAGTGGCAAGTTTTTTTTCCCCTGGTGTTAAGCGAGAGACTGTTGGCAGCCAAAGGTGGTCAGGCATTGTGTAAATGACTTGTTGAAGACGCTTTTCTCTCTGGGTGTGCTGTAGTGATTAGCAATTAAAAGTTGCTCCTAAATTTTTACAGGCTTTAGCTTCAGCCTGAAGACATGGCCACTGAAACCAAAGGAACTGGGATTCGTGCAGGATTAGCCACCCATGTGAGGTACAGCCAAAAACTTGCGCAGAATGCGGAGCTCCCTGTTGTCGCAGTGAGCCAGCGGAGCGCCAAGCGGCACAGCTCACCCGGGCTGTGTTCCCAAAGGCTGACGACCGCATTACACCAGTTCCCAGTAGTGGAAACTGGGCCCGTAGCCTGCGGGGGTACCAGTGCCACACTGGAACTTGTACCAGCCCCTCCACCTGCACTGGCTCCGTGCGGACACGCACACGTAGAGCTGGGTACAGAACAAACGGTGGGGCGGCCTTGCCTTGGTGTTTGTGAAGACTGCTTCGCTTCTCCGTAAAAGCAGAGAAGGTGGGAAGAGTGAGGGCTAGAAAGGTGGCTGGAGGGCTTGAATGATCTGCTGCCCCAAATGATGCTGTTGCCCAGAGACTAGTGGTTTTGGAAGCACAGGCCAGAGCACAGGCAGAGTGAATACACGTTTAACCAGAAGCTAGAATGTTGTTCTCTTCTATTTCTCGTTCTGGGTGCCTGGTTACAGTGGTGCTTCCTTAGACACACAAGTGGCCAGTTCTGTCACCTGGCCACTGGATGGAGTTCCTCAACCCAGTTCCTGTTGGCATGGAGTGGTGAATTTGCTGTTTAACACACAGGCAGAGACATTCTCTCAGCTCATGGACAGCTCCAATTCCTTAACTCTCAGCAGAAACCTAGGCACTGCCTGGGCTTTGACCTTTTTTCCCAACAAGTTTCCACCATTCTCACAATTATAGTGCAATTTAGTCTGTGACAAATTTTGTGTCTCATTCCCAGTTGAGCTAGACCTGTCAGGGTGTCACTTTGATTTTGCCCACAGAGAAATGTAAAAATCCTGTAAAGCACAAAATTCACGTTGTGCTACAATGTGAATTTAAAACTTAATACCTCAAATCTGTTCCAGCCCTTTAAGTTGTGTGGCTGGGCTGATGTGCAGCCAGGCTTCTGGACTGTACAATTTCCTGGGCTCTATTTTATTGTAAGAAAAGGAAGGATATGGGAAAGGCATCTTTTACCATCTGAACACTGGGATGGTACAAACACCAGCGAAGTTAAGATCTAGTGAGGAGAGGGATGCTGCCTGTCTGCAGCAGTGTCCGCCAGGACTCCTTGAAGGGACAGAGGATGTCACTCTTCTTGTATAGAAAATTTTTAAATGCTGCATTTCCACCTTTTCCTCACTTTTCCTTTTCTAATTTGAAACTATGTCCAGACACATGAAAACCAGCCTTCAGTGTCCTGTTTCCAAGCCAATCTTGGAAAACTTTCTAACCTAACAGTTGCCCTGTGTGGCAGAGAGGCTCTTGCAGGCTTCCGTGTCTGCAGCACACTCAGGGGCTAGGAGTCTATTCACATAGACAGGTGATAGGTTCTACTTACTGTTGTCTTCTGCAGCTGCAGGTTGGAGAGTCTTCTGCAGAGTTCACTGTAGAAACCAAACAAGCCACTCTGAAGCAGAAGCAAATTACTTTTAGCAGCATGAGCAGAAAATCAATTGCCACTCGCCCATTTTATTTACATGCCAATTCAGCACTATATGTTCACAATTGTTTTTCGTGCTCCTCCCCTGGCCCATCGTTTAGTCTTGTGGCTGTGATCTCTCTCTCCCCCCAGCTTTAGCGGGGTTACTGGACAGTTTCCTTAGCAGAATTTCAACTGCCTACTTAAGAAAAATCACTGCTCTGCAAGCTGCTAAGCAGCTTCTGTGAGCAGAACTTGACAGGACTCTCCAACTTGCAGCCCTGTGGTTTCCCATCTTGCCTTTCCTAAATTGAAGAAGTGATTTCCTAAGCTGGTTTTCTATTCCTGCTACTGAGAAATAAGGCAACCAAGTGATACAAATGCCATGGGGATGAAAAATGCCACAGCCCCCTTCAAGGACAACTGAGATGAGTGTAGAGCACATTTTAAGCGGTACAGATAAGGATGACATGTCGTGTGCTCTGAATTGCAAATAAACCATCTATGTTCATGTTGTAATGACATTTCAGATAGTGCCTGTCTGTCTGTTGAAAAATCTGTAACTTTAGGGCACAGAATTTTGAATTTATTGATTCTTCTGGTAGGAGTTAAAGAGCACTGATTTCAAGCAAGGTTTTTCAAGGGAAGTAAATAGCAGATAAGAAAATGCAGCTCTGCTCATTTTTATGTTGAGCACAGTAGCAAACATGCTTGAAATGTACTGGTTTTTTGAAATGTCACTTTTAAAAAATAAAGATTTTTGCCATTTAAGGTGGGGTTTTTTTGCTCAGAATAGAAATAAATCCCATTTTTCTTCGGTCACAACATGCTTTCTTTTTCTTTTTTTTTTTCTTTTAAGATGTCAATTAGTCATGCAAAGTTTTATAAGTGCATTAACATTCGAGTTTGTACAGAATATTTTTAACCAGACGCACTCCCCACCGTTCATACCTACAGCTTTGAAAAACTACATGCCACAGTGATGGTTGAGTTCCTTTTGGAAAAAATTAGGCTACCACATGAGCCAGCTGTTGGAGTAAGACCCACGTGACTCTAGCTTCCGTCTCACAGTCTGTAAAATTTCTCCTTGACTCCCACTGCGATGAATCCGATAATAGTAACAGGAAAACATCTAGGAGAAAAAACTGTCTCTGGCCAGTGACTAGTAGATTTGGGAATGAATGTTGCTTCCCTCAACAGTGTTCTTAATAAAGCCACAAGCAGCTTCTTTGAAAGTCTAAAACTGGTACCACTTTTTGTCCTTGTATTTCAGCATCACCTACAGAAATGGGAAACAAACAAACAGGTGTGAACTACTGCTCTGCATGTGAGGTATCACACATGACCTGGGCCCATTAACTGTCACATTTTCTAAGCAGAAAAGGAAGAGCAATGCACTAATCTACTAACAGTGTCATCAGGTCTCAACTCCACTGAGATCTTGTATTTAATCTCATAATTGCTGCAATTAAAAAAAAGAAAAGTTATCTCCTATTGCTGTTCATTACAAGAATTTTTTCCTGAGGAGTTTTAACTACTTTTCTTCTGCAAAAAGTACAGAGATATGGGAATAACCAGAAACTTGCTTTTTACTCCAATAGAAAGAAGCTCATCTATGGAGCATAGCAGATATATACTGAATATATAAACTTTCTGCATTTCAGGGCACGTTCTTTCTGCATATTTTTGCCTCACACTTAGAAAAGCCAATAAAAAGGTAAAGATCTTGTCCAGAGATATGATGCATTTTAAAAGATAAACATGCATTTTGGGAAGTATTCTTTAATGTTTTATCTTGGAAGAAAATCACTTGAGTTGATTCCCAGCCTGAACAGCATGGGATGGAAGAGCTTTCCAGCACAGAAGCTGTCTATTCCAGGTTATATTCTATATAACTGTACCAGTGTTGTACTAGAAACGTTCTCCTCTGCTGCCCAGTAAGATCTGTAAAGGTTCCTATATACACACACACCTACCTGTTTTCTGCCCTACTGCACAGATGTGCTGCACTAAGGGGCTTTAAAAAAAATAATCATAGTGAATTAGTGAAAAAGTGCCATGTTCTGACTTCAGAGGCTAACAATGAATGCTCACTTATGAAAACATGAAAGGAAGGGGCGTGCAATGGAAGTTTATTTTTGGCATTCTTGTTGTTTGGGAACAGGAAAAGGGGCATTTCAGTTAACACGTACACCTACAACAACACGACTGGGTGAACAGGGAGAACTGTCCTTGACTTTCCCAAAGGGAAGCAAAGGCTCAGTTGTAGGGTTGGTTCCTAGTTCTGGGTGTGTGGCACCAGGGGCCCTACCTCGTGGGCATGTTTGGAAAACGCCTCTGCGCTGGCCATCATGCTCGCAGTCCTTTCATCCAGCTCCCCCAGTTTCTGTCCTCTCTCATCAAGGGCAATACGCGCGCGAGTCAAGTCCCCGATGACTCCTCCTGCTGCTCCTCTCACGCCTTCAATTCCACCTGATCCAGGGATGTGCTGGGCAAGACTGCGAGAGGCTTTTCCTGCTGTGGCCTCGCCAACTGCAAAGGAGAAATGGACAAACAGGAATGAGCTCCTGGCTGTGGTTCTGTCAGTGCTTCTCATCCTTGAGCTGCAGCCTTGCAGCAGTGAGGCCATTTGATGCCACATATGGAGGACTTTACTCTGTCCACTGTCACATCTACAGTGCAGTCATGGCCCCCCGCTCCCCAAACTCAATTGTTCAAAAGAAGCTGCCAAGGTGAAGGAATCATGGGAAAGCAACTGAGGACCCTGCCCTCTTTATTGCCATCTTTATTTTTTTCAGCAATGATCTAAATCTAAATTTTGCGTACCACTCCATTCCTAGATGACAAGGGGCAATGAGATGCCATGAACTGATTTCCACAAAAAAAAAAAATCCCCCAGTAAATTACTTACAAAGCTCCTCTCTGTCAAAAGCTTGTCCGCTTCCTCCAAAAAGTCCTTTGAGAAAGCCTCTGTTTTGGGCTTCTGGTGTTTCCACAGGAGTAAACAAATCCCCAAGCATGTCCTAGCAAAGTCGGACAAAAGCCGATGTGAAAAATTATTGCAGTGAAAGCAGTTCTAGGTGTTTTCTTTAGTTGCATTAATGAGCCACATGCATTGCCTCTAATCAACCACTTTAAAAGAGTCTCTTGAGTCCCTAACATTTGTGTTTCATGACAGGCAAATACTTGGGCTAACTACATTTTCTCCTGCTTTCAAAGGGACTCAGTTTGTCACTGCCCAGTCTCATGTTCATTACCACAGAGAAAAAAAATTTAGAAGCCAAACAAAGTGAAAACACCGGCGATCACATTTTGCTTAGAAACAGCAGAGGTGACACTGTAATTGAGCAAACAATTTGTTGTGAATTATGTGTTTTGCTTTAGTGATGTTCCAGGCAGGCAGGGCTGCTGCACGCTGTTTTCTCTTTACAGCGTGCCTGAGTTCAGCGCTTGCTAGCAGTTCAGAGTTTGGTGGTTTGGCTGGTTGGTTTTTGTGATGGTGTTTTTTTAAACCAAAACCCTCTCACCTTCCATATAACCTCCCCCACCCCCAGCACTGTTACTGTGCATTTTGGCAGTGCTAAATAAGCATGTCTGAAGGTGGTGCCAGATCCTGGGGCAGCCAACCCAAACAAATCTCAGGCTCAGCTTTATTTGCAGCAGTACTAGGAAAAGTGGGCTCTCAGAATAAAACTGATAAAGCAAGTGTGCAGTCCCATCAGTGCCTGGAAGCAGTGAGGCTATGCAATGAGAACAGTTGCTGCCCTGTTTCTCAGCTCTGTGTTTGCTCATCCAAGTCTCAGCAGGCAGCTCCGGCTGTTGTGCTGCACAAAGCACTCGGCTCCTGGGAGGCTGAGTGCTAGGACAGGGCTGTGACTCACATGTACTGCTCCTCTGCACAGTCACCTGCTCTGGGGAGAGAAATTACTGCAGCCCTTAGAGCCTCAGTGGAGGCTCTCCTGCAGCCTGGCTTTGTTTTCCTAGGCAGCAGGTGATCTGGGTCCTGTGCTTTTTGTACACGTACAGTGACTGTGCAAGCCTTTTACTGTCTTCTGTGCATAAAAGTCAAGATATAAGCAGCCACAGTCTGGCAGTACAGAGGAGCAGGGGTTGTGTCTCCTTTTGATTGTTCGTCATATGATGCTATTAAAGTTAAGAAAAATTAAAAAAAATGCAGCTTGTAACAGCCTCTCACTATAGGTCCATATTCTATTCCTGGAAGTGTTCAAGGCCAGGCTGGATGAGTCTTTGAGAAACCTGCTGTAGCGGAGGGTGTCCCTGCCCATGGCAGGGGGGGTTGGAACTGGATGATCTTTAAGGTCCCTTCCAACCCAAACCGTTCTCTGATTCTATATATCGATCAAACCTTTTGATCCTTTAAGAACTGGTTCCCTGCAAAACAATCTCTTTCCTGGTGCGCGACAGCCTGTGTGCAATGCTCACTGCTTACAGCGCTTCTGTAGACTTGGGACAGAGTGCTGTGATGTGAGCTGAGCAGCTCGGCACAGGTCATTCCCTAAGGCACAGTAAGTGCTGGCAGGACCGTTTCTTTTATATTTCTATCCTAGTTCGCTGCTAATTATATAACCTAGAACTTATTTCCCCCTCTTTTTTCCCTTTTATTACTCATGTTTTTCCCTGTAACCTCTCACAATTCCTTCTCTTCAGTAAACGATATTTTAATTTGCATTTTCATTGTAAAAAAAAAAAAAACCCAGCCCAAATCTAACATTGTAAAGCCCTTTTGCTCAAAATAAATTATTAGACCATTTCTATAGCTACTGTATTTTAAGGTACAACGGGAGATGCTTTCCTCATGTAGGAGAAGGGGAGTACCAGTTAGTGGAGTAAAAACAACGGTAAATAAATAAAAAATGCATCAGAGCATATTTTTTCATATTAACCACACTGGTTTGTCTCATGCTCCCACCTACCTACTGAAAGCTGCAGGTATTAAGATATTTTTAGAGTTAAAATAAAAAATTATTAAAACATGGGAAGGAATTCATCTTTTCACTGAGGTAGTTGCTGTGTAGTTGGACACATGCTGGTACCAACTGCTGTAGCTGCTATCCATTTGTAGCTTTCCCTGCTTTCCCTTCAGTCATTTCTAACAGTTGGTCTTTCGTACGGTAGGACTTTGAGAGAAGCAGGCTGTGAAGAGTCCCGTTTGGGCACAAATCTGCTTCTGCAGAGCCAGCAGGGACTGCAGTTACATGTGGGCAGACAGCAGGCTCAGGGCACAGGAGCAAGGTGCCAGTGTCATCAAAAAGTCCAAACAGCGACAGAGTTGCTGACCTCTCTGCTGCTGTGGCATCATTCATCCAGGGCAGGTGAGAGGAACATGTCTGTCCTGCTCTTCACTTCAAATACTAAATTCACTAAATACTAAAATACTCTTTTTTTCCCCCCACCTCATGCTTGCTATTTGGCAACAACTTACCATTTCTGGTAAGGCCAGTATGACTTATTTAACCATTTAAAACCTCATCTTTTTAATAGAAACCATAGACTGGTACAACATGTTCTTTCGAGCAAACTAGCAGTAAACACGTGGCAATTTACACCTGACGAGTCAGGCCACTGGCCTTCCCAAGGTACCAAAGTGAGGGTCTGAGCCCTACCTGCAGGTTGTCACACATCTCCTGGCTGTATGTCAGGCGCTGGATCTCTGTGGGAGAGCTGAGATACAAAGCTTGCCCTTCGTTAGTGAAACAAAAGGTCCGCGCTATCCTCATGTCTGTCACGGGCAAATAGTTGATGTCCAGCAGTGGGCGAAGGCTGGGCAAGCTGAAGAGAAGCAGATGGCTCGGTTAGTTGCCACACATGGGACACCTGCTCTGTGGCAGCATTTTAAAAACTAACATGTAAGTTCATGCTTTTCATAACTGAAATAGTCTAAGCGCAGCTCTAAGCTGAAAAATTTGGCCATAGACATGCTGCCTTCCCATCGTACTTGGTTTATTTCCCTGCATGGAGAAGTTCCAGCTGCCTTGCCTCCACAGCCCTTAGGCTTCTGCTACTGTGTTTAGGATGTGCATGTGACAGCTTGTGCCACGTGGCTGGGCAGTTTGCAGGGTAAGGACCCAGGTACCCTGTGGGAGCTGTGGCAAACAGCATGGCAGGGCCCTGCTTGCATGCTGCGGATGAAGGCTCCAGCATCGCCTTTGCTGTCCTCTGGCTTCTCCTGGTTCAATGTTTCAGATGGCACTTTCCAAAATTTCAATGGCCTGGCTGGGGAAAGGGGATGTGGCAGGGCACAACTGCAGGGCCACTGCACAGCCAGCTCAGTGGCGGAGATGACAAGGAAGGGAAACCAGGTGCTCGGAGCAGAAAATCTTCCGAAATTACAAAAGTGGAACTTACTACTCCACACTGGATAAACAGTGCCCTTTCCGTGCCTGAGATCTCTACCTGACCCACCATAACTGAGCAAAATGATCAGGGTTTTCTTTCAAGACAGTTAAAAATCATCAGCCATCCAATGTCCTGGGTGGGGATTACAATAAATAAAGGAGTTTGTTCTGCTCTGCAGCTGCCTTAACTCCCCATGTGCAGACAAGGCAAAGGGACAGGTATGGCAGCAGGCAAGGCAGGGCATTAAACGCACCCACCAGGGAGTTAACGCGGAGCATCGGATGCTCTGGAGCAAACGCAAGTGGAACAGGAGAGCACTGTGCCACCTCTTTGCTTAGTTTTGCCCAAGATGAGTTAGATAAGTACCTCAGTGTCATGATGTGCCCATTGGCACAAAAGCACGCCAGACAGACGCTGTTACAGAGGGTGACCACATCTGCTCGCAATAAAAAAGACGTTTCGGTGATGTTGTGGACATAAAGACATGTTTGGGAAGGCAATGAGAAGACTTTGGCTTGTTTTTCTGAACAAATGACTGCAAATTGATGATCACCCATATCCTGGGAGGAGGAAGGGGAATGCATGACAAGTTTCCTTTTTCTTGTTTTTTCACCGTCATCAGCACTGTGTGGGTCCCTCCATACTTCATACGGTGGATGTGTCAACGTCCCCATGCAGTCCAAGCACGCAAAGGTCAGCACGGCTCCTTTCAGTGTCAGAACTGTGCCTGCAAAATATAGTTTCCTCTCACCGGCACTGGCACTGCAGTTAAACTGGTTGTCAGTTCCGTGAACGCGTGCAGCACAGCTGACCTTGGGCTTTTGTGAACTAAGCAAACCCATTAATCTAGCTAAGGGGACAAGTCTTCCTTGCTCAGTTCTTCCTGACCACACAAGACGGTGAACAAACAGGCTGCTGCTCCTGAAAAGGTCTCAGGCAGCTGACCTCAAACACTCTGTGTAATACATGCTATTGAATGTCATCGAGGTCGACTGTGTTTATCTCTGCATCATACTGGTAGGATGTTCATTCCTCAGCAATAAAATTGCTCTCCTTAGCCTGGTGACCTTCCAGGATGGTTTTTCTAAACAAACTGGGGGTAGGAAACCTCTGTTCCTGTGCATGCTCTGATTTTTGTCACTGTTTTACTTTCTAAGCGCTCACTGCCTCTCCTCAGACCTGACCTCTCTCAGCTCTCTGTTCTCTCTGCTACACCATCTGTCACTCGCTCAGCCAAGGATCTCTCCTGGTACATCAACGTGCCAATGTTTTTGTTTCCTTTCCTGAACACCCTTCTGCTTCTCTGCAGCTTTCTGATAGTAAGACAGCCAGACTGCTCACAGCATCCCAGCTAGGATTGCATCAGAGCTGTAGGCAGGACTCTGATTTCATGACATGAAGAAACTCTGCTAATTTCCCTGTCCTTGCAGGACACACGTAACTTTGCCCATGACACAAAGTACTCTTCGGATCTAACACAACCAAAGTGACTCAGTTTTGAAGTCTGAAGGGTCTCTCACGGGCACCTTATTTACCTGTGTACCCTCTCTGTACTGAGTGACTGTTGCTTGATACATGTATTGAGAAGTTTCTGCCCCAAAGGTCATACAAAGCCAGGCAGTTATTCCCCCTGTTGTACTGCGACGGGTAATGAGCAGGAAAAGAGCTGCACCCTTACCACTTGGTGACACCATGACGGGTTCTGACTGCCGTAAGTCATCGCTAGCAGGCAGATTAAGGGAGAGGATTAAGACCATACCAAGGCCCGTTCCAACCCAGAGACAGGGAGAGACAGTGGAGTCATTCTTTCGGGCAAAGGACTCCATGAAGCACAGAGCAGTAATTGCCTCCTTTGAGTCTCGGTCGATACTGGACACGCTGGAACTTCGGGAACGGCTGAAGGAGTTTTCCCTATTTTCTGCATAAACAAATACAAAACAGGCACCAGTTGGCAATCTTAGAACAGGCACAAGCCTGCAGCAAATACAAACTCCCTGCAGAGTACAGAAAATACAGAGTTTTTGTAACCTGAGCAAACATTTTGATACTAGCACGGTACCAGCCTGCTGCCAGTGTATAAATAAGCGCGGAAAATGCTGTCAGACCTCATAAGTTAGGTCTGCATTAGAAATAGCTGCTTATTATGGAGATTAGCATAGACTAATTAGAATTTACAACAGCCTTAGCTCAAAGGACTTGTTCTAAATAGCGTGAAATAATTTTAGACCCATATGTACCAATGCTTTTAAAATTAATCCATGTATCTCATGCTGCAGGACATGAAGGGAGATGCCATTACCAACTCCAGAACATGCGTCCTTTGCTCTGCTCCTGTTTCCATCACTGGGATGTTCCAGCACTGCATTCACAGTCATCGTTTATTGTCAAGCTATTAATAACTGCTCTCTGGGGAAAAGGCACCCGTTACTAGACTGATCTCAGTCTGTCTCAGGGTACACATCAATTCTGGCTTCCCAGGGAGTGAAGTGAGAAACTGTTCTGCAACCTTGGCAACAACTGCACAGTGAGCCAGCACTGGCTGCTTCATCTTTCTACCTAAGCTTTAGCAGGCAACAAGGAGAGCCAGCTGGAGACAGAGCCATACTGTCCTCACTGCAAACATATAGGTACCAAGACACCTTCTGAGCTCTTCAGAGAGAAAGAACAATGAACGGGGTCCAACTGCTGTAGGGCCAAGGACCTCCACTGTGCTTTGGCTAGTGCCAGGCAGGAAGCTGTGCAAGGGTGCTCCTGGCAACAGCAGGGACTGTCGGTGGTAACACATGGGAAGCTATAAAGCACATTGAGGCTAAAAAGCTACTGAGGAGTAAAGAAGACAGAGGAAAGAAGAGAGCAGGGCTGGCTGTTAGCACAGTCTTTGCAAAACAGTTTGTGCCAGTGCTGCTGTCTACCAAGCTGTAGTCAAAAATAGGGCTAGATCATTGGAAACCTCACATGCTTTTCTGCAATAACAACTAGAGGACCAGAAGGTTCTGGAGATGGAGAAATAATTGAAGCTATTGGATAAAAGGCTCACTTCTGAACCTATCATGACGAAGTAGATCTGTGTCTGGTATGAAATTATCCTTCTTACGGCTCAGAGAAGAGTGCTGTCTTTTCAGAGCCAGTAGAAATGTCTAAAAAGAGGAATACTTTCTGCTACAGTTGAAGAATAAAATTAGAAAAGGACTTTCTCACATACTCCAACTTCCATACTCCATTTCCCCACACACTCCAATGTGGGCTAAGCCTCACACTGTATATATGGTTCCTGCTCTGCACCAGAAGCAGCAGTTTAGTTGGTGAATCTCTTGCTGGGACAACGTATTGCAGCATTGTATTCCTTTACCCAGATGTCTCAGTGCAAACTGCTGAAAATTATCCTCTTCACAGCAACTACCTGGGAATGACCGGAAAGAACCACGGCGAAGCACTAGTGGAACCACAGGAAGCGTCACCACGTATGCTACCTTACAAGGTGGCACACAGGGATGGGGGCAGGTTCTCATGCTGCTCTTTCACACTTGACCCCAGCTTCTGTACTTGGAGGGCATCCGAAGCTGGTCAAATAGGAGCTAACAGAATAGTCATCCCTGGCATTTCGATCCCACCCTCACGGAAGAGGAACATACATCTGCTTGAACTTCCAAGCACTGCACTCACCCCATTTCACCTTCTTCATGTAGGCACTGTTGTAGCTCTCTAGTTCTGGCTCAGTACCACTAAACAGACCTGCACAAAACTGAGATTGTTTATTCATGTGCAAACACAGCTTCTAATACCTTGAGAATAAGTGTCTCCCATAACCCCACGCACTTTGTACTTCTCCTGCAGTGGACTGGTTGTCCCAGCTCCTTCCTAAGCACAGTGACAGCTGCCAGGTAAAGAAGGGGAAGACAGCAGTTTCAAGGCAGAGATCATCAGGGCTCCACACATACATATATATTTTTTTTTTTCCCCAAAGGGTACCTAATTTTTAAAATATCTTAGTATGTAATTCATTTTCTCTTTAACAGGTGTATTAATATCACAGTCACATAAAATTCAAATATGGTGGTGCTCATACTGAGAAAGATGTGGAAAGGACAAATGCAGTTGGTGTGGGCGACATACACGGAACTTAAAATACATGCTGTGCCATTTGCATGTGTCATCAAGATTTCTCCCTCTCTAAATGAACAAGAAACATTCCTCGCTCCTGTGCAGTACAGTTAACTAATTAATACATCTTTGCAGAACTGACACTAACAGATAAAATCTTTGGGACACTTTTGGGTACGTACTGTGCCATTTCCTATTAAATACACCACGCAAACCAGAACTCTAAAAACGAGCACAACACATGTCAAAATTTGATGTCATTTAACATATCTGAACAGCAAATCAAAACATATGAAAGACTGCAGTCACTAAGGGACTTTATTGGCTACCTCTAAAGCAAGATAGAAATCTCTCCTCTTCCTAGATTTCAGGATAAAATTTAACTTAGGCCTGTTCCCTGGGACTCCTTTCTCAAAGAGATTATACCCCAAATTATGTATTTACAAACTACTTCATTGTATCCTGGGAATTTTTAAAAACTTGCCATAGCCTTTCCTAGCATCATTGCTGTGTTTTAAAATGATGTCCCGCCTTCTAGAAGTTGTCCTGTATGCACACTGCCAATCTGTAGTTATCCTTAACCCAACCACCATATTCTGGGTTTTCTCTTCTGTTTTCCTTTTCTCACACTGCATGATGGGTGTAGCACGAATGCCAATGACAACATCTTCCTGCATGACTCTGAACCAGAACCACTCCAGGTACTCCCTGCAACTGTGGTCAAGCAAAGTTTATTTGAACTCCCTGCTTCGGCAAGGGGATAGGACGTTCACATGTGAAAGGCATGTACCTTTCTGCTCCTCAGTCCTCCTTCCCTCTTTTCCTCCTCTGCAGAACATCCTGCTACATTGCACTTTCTCATAAATGTGCTCCTGCCTCTAAATCGCCTCCTGCTTTGAGGGAGTCCAGTATTCCCTTTTCTATGGGAGGCACATACCCAGCTCCTGCAATCCCTCTGCTCCGACCCAGCTGTCTCTCTCAAGTGACCTTGTCCTTTTTCCTCTTCCCCTTGAAGATCTGGAGTTCTCAGCTCTTCTTTTTTCCAAATAGGCCTCCAGGCTGTTCCTGCAGCTAGCAGCAGAGGGGCTGAGAGCACCATCAGAGGGGTCCAGTGTCCCCTGCGAGCTACCAAGTGACTATCATTTGGGAGATGCTGCTAATCAGGTTGTTAGACTATGAGAAGCTCTGAGCAAAAGTGTTATTATCTGCAGCCAGTGCGTTTCCAAAAGCTGCATTCCATAGGTTAAGACCACACAATATAAATGCCACTACTTTTCTAGCAGTAGTCCTGCCTTCTTCAAAAACATTTTCATTCAGCCCTCTGTCCTATGGATGGTTTGGGTTAGTGGGATGCAGATGGAAACTTGGGAACTGACTTCCTTCATAACACTTGAATTCCAGCTCTAAGTAGCAGCATACAAATAGAAGGCTTTTGATTTAAAAGCAACTGCGAAACGTCTAACTTGCGACCCACCTCAGTGACAGAAACATACAGGACACTTCAACTCACATGCTAGGATAAAAAGGAAGCCAGTGTTTTTGAGTCTTACCTTTGTTCATCCGTGTGTGAGCAGTACAGTGACGCTCGTCGTGTGAGAATGTACTGATTCCGTATAACTGCTGAAGCATTGCCCTTCTGGAAATGTAACCTACTGCCACAAAGTCGCGTGCGTTGCAAAAGGACAAGAACAATTGAGCCAACCATCACCGTGACATTCATATGAAAGCAGCCCTGAGCAGTTACTGCCTCTCTTCTTGCACGACAGGCTGTCCCGCTGCAGTGCACTGGTGTCCAGGAGAGGATGTCATTTAGGGTTTGGGGGTTTTCAGAGAATTTAAAAGATTGTTCGAGTAAATGATTCCATGTATTTCAGCTGTCACCTTTACAGAGCGCTTGCCAAGAATTTTGTAACTTCCATTTGTTCAATGGAAATAAAACTGGACTTTCCTTACTTTCCCATGGAATTAAAAAAAAAAAAGAGGGAGGATACTAATGAAAATATCCATGCTGCTGACTTGGGCATCTTCAGAGGAATGTTCTGACTTCCCTATTCTCAGCTGCAGCAAAAGCTTTGTAAGGGGAACACATTCTCACATTGCTTCCAAGAAATTGTCATTGTGAACATTTTACAATAATGGATTTAGCACTAAGACAGAAGCTTAAAGTAATTTTCTTCTTGAAGTTAGGAATCATTAAAGTATCACTTGTTAGGAGGAATGAAAGAAAATTACCAGTGACGAAGATCACCAGTTTCACTGCATTCATTCATTACGTGTTTACATTGATTTCTGGAGAGTTTTGCAATTGACTGCCAGTGTCCTGGATACTATTTATAGGCCCTCTCCTAGTTTTAACACAGTGAGTAATTGATCTGCTTACAAAACTTATACAAAACTTGATTTTTTTTGATATGGAAATTGCTATATTCTGGAAACAATGTTAAATGATTTATATTCTCCTCACTTGGAGATTTCTAAAAGTTTTAATCCCAAATATCACCCCTAACAGAAGCTAATGAAACTATTAAAACATCTGCCAGTTTAAGGATCATCATCTTAAAATTTTAAGAGAAATCTGCCAATTTTAAAATTATATAGTCAAGAAAGCATGAAAGCTTTCAAGAAAGTTCTGAATGCCAGTGTAAACATACAGTAAAGGAATTACATTTGCATGATTTTGCACACAGTAATGTCATAGACACAGAGACCGAACCATACTGCTGATGGCAGAGCTTCAGCAACACTGAGGAGAAAGGGACAGGAAGAACACTGCAGGCTTTTCACACATTTAAGGACACTGCACGTTTACTCGGCTAAAAACATCTCCAAATACATCTTAATAGCACCACTCAGAAGCTGCATTCCACATAAAGCAATGCACTAGAAAGCAGCAGAAGTTCTCTTAAGCACAAACAATGCATTCCTAATCTGGAGTTTTACTGTGAATGATTTCCTAATGGATCAACTCAAAGAAGTTTCCCTAAAGCTATGTTGAAAAGCCTGTGAGGACACGGCTTGTGAAGCAGTCAAACCAGGGTGGCTACCTCTGTGCTTGCACGGAGCTCACACCTGTGGGATGCTTGACCCTCCCTGGAAAAAGTTCTGAAATGTATCATCCTGAAGTTGCCACAGTTACAGCCGTGCAACTTGGATGGCTGCACAGAATTATACAAGACTGATGTAAAGGCCTGAAAGAGAAAATAGATTCAAGTCACCAGACTTGTTTTTTTTTTTTGATATTTCCAGAGTATGGAAAAGTTCAGACTTAGGTTTTAGTTCAGCATGTTTTAAAAAAAAGGGAACTGTTAGGCCAGAACTATTCTTCATATTGAAAATGAAGTAGAAATAAGCATTTTTATAGAAAGATAAACGTGAGATATCTTTACAGTAAATAATCTATCAAACTTTCATATTCAATTCATAGAATCACTTCCCTTTACTCACACAGGCAAACGGTCTTCACATTCAGATCACTAAGAGCTCAATTTGGATATAGGTTGCAAGTTTGGACACATGTTTTTTAATCAAAGACACCACAATTTCCTAGAACTTAAATCCCAACCTAAAACATCCATTCTGCTGAAGCATCTTTTTTAACATTGATGGTCTGGAAAAGAATGGTATGTTGTATAACTTTCATAGGTGGAAGCACCCAAGAATAAGGAGGAGACAAAAGGCATTACAGAAGAAAAATTTTGGGTTCATTCAA